ATATTCCTATAAGGGTATATATGTGCACATTACACATATTTATTCATGTGACTGTATACACACACATATATTCCTGTTAGCATATATATGCATACACACATATACACACAAACACACTTGCATACACACATGCATCTGTTAATATATATTCACAGAAGAAAAGAGCATTAGCATAACATAAGGGCCCCAAAACTGCTAACGTCACAGCACAGATGGTATATCCAAATCTCATGTTCTCACTTCATTATATTAGAAACACCCATGGCTCTGTGGTTGATAATATCACACAACCTTTTCAGTTCCACACCAGTGTTTCTATGAGTTGTCAGGAAAAGGGCCTCCATGTGTGTGCAGGAAGGGCCTGTTTCCACAGCTGTCTGGGCTTACCGGGTGTGAGCACTGTAAGTTGAGCAGTCAGTCTGGAGATGGATGGTAAAGAAATTTACCCTATAAAAAGCTTGTATGTTAGGAGTTCTTCCTAAATAAATCCACCAGCTTCTGGTCCCAGCACTGTTGTTTCTGTGAAAATTTAAGCAAGTCTTTCATATCTATTTACTAATCCCTGAAGTAAAGATACTACAAGTGCTACCTAACTCATCCTATTACTGAGAGCTGTTGGGAGGCTCTCTGGGCAGTTTCGTGATAAACCCCATGGGCAGGCCCATTAAGAACTGAAGCTGGCGGGTATCTGAGCCGACGCACCCAGAGCTGCGAGTGTGGCCCAGGCCCCTGCGGCACTGTGAGAGCCGTGTGCCTACGCCTGAAACCCTGATGCCTGAGGGTGTGATTTGTCGTCCTCACAGCCCTGCGCGGCCGTTGGTACGTGGTCCCCGAGTGGCACCTGCATGGTACATACATGCACCACACCACGTGTTGGACTGAGGTAGACCCCGAATTGCTGGCTGCTGGTGAGGACAGGTCACCACTGAGGAGAAGAAGTGGGATGGACACAAAGGCCAAGGGCTGCGTCCCAGACACCCTCTGGAGAAGAGCCCCCCAGACCCTGGTATGGCTTTAGCGGAGGGAACATGGCTGCAGGCAGGGCCTCTGCCGGCGTGTCCCCGGCGCCCGATTCAGAAATTCACAAATACCCTCTGGTGGTGTTCGGTTGTTGTTAATTTTTTTGAACTCAAAGTACACTTTCCCATGAAAGCCGGGGTTAGTCCCCAGGCTTCCCCCCCGCACCCCATCCATGCCCCGCCACCACCCGTGCACACACAGAGCCTGTCACTCCACCATGTGACCAGGACGGTCCGAAGTCTGCAGGCATGGCTGCAAGCCCCGCTGGGCTGCGCAGATGGCACATCCCAGCCCTGCCCGCGGGCAGTGGCTTCAAGAGCGGGCACAGAGGTTTCCGTAAGGCAGGCCCTGAGGACAGCACGGGGCCGTGGGTAGGAGGCTGAAGGCAGGGTTTATGCTTGCGGGAGGAGGGCCAGAGAGGAGCGTCATGAGACACCAGGCCTTCTGCATGGAGAGCCCATGGGAGAATAGCTTTTTCCCAAGATAGGCAAGGCCCCCCTGCTTTGTTTCTTCTAGGGGGTTCCAGGTACCCCAAGTCTTTCTCCACCACTTTTTTGGAAAAGGGCCCATCTTGAAAACCTCCTCTACCTTCCTGGAAGCCAACAGAGAATGTTTGAGCATCTAATAGAAGTGTTTTAATACTAATTAAAGGGAAGCAGTCCCCTTTTTTGCACATAGTTTCTATGGACCATTCAGCCCCTCTGAGAGCAGGGGCCATGACAGAGCTGGAGCACATGCATGCATGGAGAGAGAGAGCCATGGGGGTACAAGATAGGCATCCAGCCTGAGATGTGGGCCTGACCCCACAGAGCAGAGGGGAGGGCGGAGGGCAGGAGGGTCTGAGCCAGGCACCAGCAACAGTTCTTGAGGCGGAGTGCAGGGCCCACCCTGAGGCTGCCTCCAAGCGGTACCGCCCCCTCGACTTCCCCCATCATCCAGAACCCTCTCCACACAGCCAGGCATATCCTGAAAATCCGCTCAGGTACAGTCATCTGACTCCAGGCTCCAAGCAGGACCCGTCCCAGCTAAGAGCCGCCCTCACTGTATGTAGATCAGAAGCAGGGCACAGTGGGACTCATGTACCGTTATACAAGGGACCTGATGGTTTTAAAAGTACAGAGCGAACAGGCAAATGCGATGAACTATAGGATGGATTGCAGTTTGCAAAGCACTTTAATATGTTGCTGTGGTCTGAATCCCTGCACCCCCACCACTCGCATGGTGGTGTTCTGATCCCAGTGTGTGTGTGGAGGTGGGTCCATTGGGAGGTCGTCAGGTGGGGAGGGTGGAGCGTTCACAAATGGGATTAATGCCTTAATAAAAGAGACTCCAGGGAGCCCCCTAGGCCCTTCTGCCATATGTGGACACAGCAAGAAGCCACCATCAGCGACCCAGAAGCGGACCTTCACCCCACCACACTGAAACCCTGATCTGGGACTTCCAGCCTCCAGGACTGTGAGAGGTCATTTTCTGTTGTTCATAAACCACCCAGTCTGGTATCACATTACACAGCCGGGACAGACTAAGGCATATGACCTGTTTGACAGGATATATGTCCCTTGAGTCTGCAGCTGTCCTGTCAGACAAGCAGTACTGTCGGCACAGAAGGTAAACTGAGGAAGACATCTGTTTATGCCTCGTCTTCCAAGCTCAGCAGGGCCAGCTAGGGTTCTTTGATTGCAAGCAACAGACAGATTCCTGCTGACCCCAGCATGGAAGGTATTTACTGGGGTCACCCCCAGGACCAGTGGGAAGGTAGGGGCCAAGTCAGGAAGGGCAGGAACAGCTCAGCAACATTCACTGTCACCCACCTCATGGGCACTGACGCTGGGAGTCGTGACCTCTGGCAACAATCTTCAGTCTTCAAGTCAAAGTCCAGGGGAAAGCGTGCGAGGGCCCCTTCCTGGCTGGGGGCAGGCCGGTGTTCTCGCCTGTCAATTCCAGAGCATATTTGTAACTGTTACAAACAAAAACAAACTTCCCTTTTCTTTTCTTTTTTGGCCTCGCACTTTCTCTTAAAATAGATTCTGTGATGCTTTTTCCTATTCACCTGGATGAAATTTGGACAAACCCCAGGATATTTCTGGTCACTCTCAGACTATAAACGCTCTTGTCATGTTTCACACAGACATAACCTTCCTTGTTATTACAGCCGCGCCCGGTTAGCAATCAAATCTTCACTCCTGCTTTCAAGTTGGGGCTCTACTGCCCCCAGCCCTGCCCCTGGTGTTGGCAGAGACCTGTCAGGAAAGGGAAATGATCATTTCTTATCCCTTAACTCAGCCATCTGCTCTTCCTCCCGCCCTGCACGTCCACCCTCTGGGTGGGGGGCGGCGCAGCCGAGATGAGGAGGGAGGGAAGGCCCCCCAGGAGGCCCTGGGCTCCTGGAGGATGGGCCCCTTCCCCTCAGGGGGCACCCATAGTGCTTGAAGGCCGCTCCCTCCCCCTCAGTCACGGGCTCTCTCATCTGCTTACTGGTTCTCAGCCCCAGGCATCTGTGGTGGTCAGGCTGTGCCCCGTACAAAGATTCGTGTCCAAGCACTACCCCCTGGTGCCTGTGAACATGACCTCATTTGGAAATAGGGCCTTTGCAAGTGGGGTAAGTTTAAGTATCTCAAGAGGAGGTCATCCTGGGTGTAGGAAGAGATCCCCAATGGCTGATGTCCCTAATAAGAGAGAGGAGAGGGAGATGGAGGTGCAGAGACTCAGGAAAAGCCCCAGTGAAGACAGAGGCTGAAGTGGGACCCAAAGACTGCCCACCACTGCCAGGAGCTGGGGGAGGTTGGGGAGGCCAGGGTAGGCTGGGGAGGCTGGAGGAGACAGGGGGAGGGAGCACCACTCTGCCAAGGCCCTGATGGTAGCCTTCTGGCCTCCAGACCTGCGAGGGAATGTGCTCCTCTTGGTGAAAGCTATGAATTTTGTCGTATTTCTATTGCTGCCCCAGGACACTGACAGGCCCCATGGCAGCCCTGCCCCTGGGTGGACCTAGGAAGGTCCACAGCAGCCCCTCATTACACGGCATCTAGTCTAAGTGCTGCCCCCTCACCTCCCCAGCTTCCCCACTGCTGTGTGCTTACGCAGACTTGCATGTGCTCACATGCACAGGGGGACATGGCTTCTACACGCCCAGAGTCTATTCCAGAAAACCTCATGGTCCCTGCTCTACAGAACCAATGAGCTGGCCCACCCACAGACCCACTTTACCAAAGCGGCTGCTCACCAGTCTCCTTGCCTCTTGGTTTTCTGGATGGATTAAACCCAAGGCCCTTGTGGCCCATTGACTCGGGGCACTTGCACAGCCCCTTAAGGCTGCTCTTTAAAGTGCCCCCCTCGCAAGGAGGAGGGAAGCCCCCATTCGTCAGCCTCTGTTGTCAGTCCTTCATGGGGGTCTCTCCCCTGACTTAGGAACGTGGCATCTATTGTGTATCGGTGATGGTCAAAATTCCTATTTTAACATTTTGTTGCTAATGAAATAGGGGAAGGCTTGTTCCTCAGCAAAATAATGCTCATCAAAGTCAGAGGGCTTGATACTGAGCAGACAGAATCCAAAGGTGTGACTGGGGAGCAGAGGTGAGCCTCATCCCATCAGGCTGTGCCTCTTACTTGTAACGGAATTGCCAACAAGTGTCCCACAGATCTAGCATCATGGTTCCCCTGATGGACAATGCCAGGTGCAGTCATCAGGCCAAAGCCACAGAAAGAAGTCTGAAGTTCAAAGGTAAAGGGGAGGGGGCTGAGCAGGTGTCAAGGAATGAAGGGCACCCTGCCTGCGCCCTCACCCCGCCCAGCGCATCTCCCAGTGCATGTGGAGTACTGCAAAGCCCAACACCGAGTCAGACTGGTCCAAAGCTGAGAAAGGAGGGCGCGCAGTATGCGGGGAGGACCAAGGTGTGGGGAGAACTCTGTGACAACCTGGGCTCAGACACCGAGTCCGTGGGAGGGTTGGAGCCAGCACAATACCCCAAAGACAGAGGCGAGGCACCAAGAAGTGGCCCTTCTACGTCCACACTTCACTCAGTCTGAGCTGTAATAAATGAAGCTTTCAGTACTGGAGAATTAAGTGAAAACCTTTCATCAAATATATTTTCTAAACAGGCATAGAAGACAGTCCATGGTGAGCCGTACAGGAGGCTCGTGACAAGGTGCAGGACAGCAGGCTGTCAAGCACGGCTCAGGGGCGCCCGAGGCTCCAGTGAATCCCCAGTTCCCGGGCCATTTGCCTGCCCAGCGACCTCTGCAGCTGGGGATCGCTGAACAAGGAGGTTGGGCCTAGAAGGAACATAAAAACAGTGTCAAGCTAAATTAACTCATCCTGGAGGGGATGGGAATACAGCCTGGGAACTCTAATTTCAAATTTTCTTTTTTAAATCAGTTTGTAAAGCTCCCCCCAAAATCCCATAGGACTTTGATTGGGCTTGCATTAAATCGATGGATTTTGGGAGAATCGCCACTTCCAGAGTGTGTCCTGAGACTCCCTGTGAAATCCAGTATCTCAGTGCGATCCCCTTCCTCTTCAAGCCTCTGCCCCAGTTACTGCTCGTGTCTCCCCCACCCCCCAGTTAGACACAGCACACCCCTCTGCTCCACGTGCACCCTCATGGCCCGCTCTGCCTCCTGCACGAAGCTTTCTCCAAGGACTCCGACCAGGCATCTTGGCTTATTGGAGATGCAGCCACACCTGGCAAGAGGAAGCTCTGTTAAATGTTAGCTATTATGATTATCATGTAAATAGTTTACTGATTCACTTCGAGATTTTCTTTTAGAAAGGCAATTGATTTCCTCTTACCTAGAACATTGCCCCCAAATTACTACAATTCCTAAAACTGTCTTATTTTCTGAAAGCACAGTGAAGGAGGCATAGAGTGACTTCGGAGAATTCTTCTGAAAACTTCCTCCAGTAGGTCCTCCCGGTTTTAAAACAGTGAGGCTGCTGTTCATGTTTTAACCCATTTCTCCAGACCAACACCATCATAAACTGATTATTTCTGAGGTGAGAATCTGGTCCATAAACAACCAGTCTCTTTTTAGTAAGTGTCCTCTCTACATGAATAGAAAGTATCAGATCAGAGCATCTGGAGCAAACTATTTCAGGGGTCATTAAAGGTGACCTATAATTTTTGTTTCTGTTTGTTTCCCTCAAAATTAGTAAATTTGATGGGCTTAAATTGCTGGTTTAGTTTCCATAACAAACAGAATGACCTTCTGGTCACCAGAAATGATCTATCCAGCATTATCTAAAGTTAGAAGGGTTAAAACAAAGAGCTGAATTCAAGGCACCAGGAAGCTATATGAAATAAAACTTGGCAAGTGTGCTTCTGAGATGCATTTAGAGAGCCATAAATGCCATCTCATGTCACTTCATCTTTTCAATTAGAAAGACTTTATTTGGGGGACAAGAGAGTTGTGGATTAAAAGCAATTACTGAGATTCTTAAGCCCTGAAGTATCACAATAATTCATGTAATAACATTTTAAACAATCAGCTTTGAATCCTTAGTAAATTTCACTTCAACCAGAATGATGTTTAGTAAAAAGTCACCCTAAGGGTTGCACAGACCACTAACTGTCAAGTGGTAAGAACTCATTAAACACTCTGATATTAAACTAAAGATACTCGATTTCATAGAACTTTATTATTTAAAAATTGCATCATAGTCTCAAAAATGTCACATAGTTGAGCAAATATTTGCTGAGGGTGTATGTCAGGCCTGCTCTAGGGCTGAAGATGCTCAAAGGAACCTGACCGTGGCCCTGCCTTTGAGCTACGCAGCATAATGCCTCCTGGCCTCCTCACTGGCATCAGTAATCAGCATGCAAGTGTAAAAACTGTCCCTTCTCTTTCTGCCTGGTGACTGAGTTCCACATCCACTCTGCTATGGATAAGCAGTAAGTCTTGATTTAAGGGACGCATCGCTTATCTGTCTTCATTATTTACCTGCAGGACGAGGCGAATCTGTCTGCTCTCCCAGAGCCAATGGGGAGAGAATGCGAAGCCCTTTTCCAGCGTCTTCCGAGCTTCCGTGGGTGGACTATGAGTCCTCTATTAGCTGCAGCCCCATGAGTCAGTCAGCAAGCACGTCCCTCCCTTTCCCGGGGGTGATGGATGGGTCAGGACCAGTGAGCACAAGGACTCAGGGCAGGGAAGGAGGTGCTGCGTGGGAGAATAAACAGGATGGAGTGGAGAAATGTCCATCAAAATCCCATGCTTGTCTACCACTTGGTAATAAGGACCTCATATTCTGTTCCAGAAACCCCAGGATATGGGCAGAAATTCGGTGGGGCGGGGTGGCTGACTCATGTCAGGTGCAAAATCCCCATGGCGTTGAAAGCGATCAGCTGTGACGTCCTTGACGTTTCAGAGGGAGCAGCAGGTGCTGCTGCATTTGTGGAGACGCGCAGCCCAGCCCTTCTGGGATTGAGATACTTGGTCTGTTTTCAGACCAAGCCTGGCACACTCATCCTGAGCTTTCGGCTTGGAGGCCACACTCAGGGAACAACTTCTGTGAAGTTCTGGCTGCGCTGTGGTAGCATCTGATGACAGACACAGGAGGAAACATCCAACACAGGCCTGCTTCCAGGGCCGGTGAGCAGGAGAAATGCAGTGCGGGGCACGGCACCCAAGTAGAAGTGACCACTGCATCCACAGATGACGGAGCAATCACCCTGCCAAAGAGCTCTCCGGGAGTTCCTGCTGTAAGGTGCTTCTTTGCATTCAAAATATTATTCAATTGACCAAAAAAACAGGAAAGTCCTGGGGCAGGACTGCTGCTCGGAGGAAGCCTTACAGCACGTGGGGAGGCCTGTGCTGAGAGCTGACTGGCTGAAATTCTGGGTTCATTCCTCAGAGTGACAAGAACAATGGCACTATTAAAACACGAAATGAAAGGTTGCTGTTGATGGTGACGAATGCGTAGATAAGAGCTTTGGTTCCGTCAACGGAAGTGAAGAAATGCAACTGTTAGAAAGGAGCACCACAGCCCCAAGAGGGGAGCTGGCCAGCCAGCAAATGGGCTCAGCACCCAGCCTGGCCCAGGGCAGTGCCCCCCACAGGCAGCCCCGGCCGTTGGGAGCCTGCAGCCGGGACCCACGAGATAGCCTGTCCCATGCGCCCTCCAGCCCCAGAAGGGGGACACACTGTGAGAGGACCCAAGTCCTCCCAGGGGAAGGTGACCTTGCTGAGACAATCCCTCCTTCTCTTCTGCTGATAAATGTTTGCCCCCACCCTCCTGCCTCTGAGAACCTTCCCTTCACACGGTTCCTCAGAGGGCTTCTCCGCTCACCAGGTGGGATGCTGCCCGATTCATGAATCGTTTAATAAAACCAATTCCATCTCAACCTAGTTGGTCAAATTTTGTCTTTTTTAATACAAGTGAGTATTAAACATGTCTCTGAAAAAATATATTTTTTTGGTGGGGGGATGAGTCAGTTCATCCTATAAAAAATACAATAATCGATTTTTTAGTATCCCAGAATGATCATGACTTTATCACTCCCAGGAGAAACTGTTTTGATGATGTAGCCTCCGACACTGACCGCCTCAGGCTTGTTAACCCTCTGTCATTGGAAGTTCTCGCACGATTTGACCTCTTGTTTAAAAACAACCAGGTACCAGGGCGGCTGTCTGTCCCCTGTAGTCCTACAAAGTCCTCTGAAGAAATGGAGGTTTAACCACTGCACTGGACAAAGGACCATCAAAGTTCTAGGGTTTGGGGGCTTTTTTTTTTTATTGTAACCACCGTTTCTTCTTTAAAAAGTCAGCCATGTGACTGGTAATGTATCAGTTTGTTATTTAAGATCTCACTGCCTAGTTTGGTTGCTTATTTTGATAAGACGGATCTGCCTCAAGAGGAAATGAAATACATTTCCTGAGCTCTGAGAATAAGGAGCCACGTCTGCTCGCCACCTGATGAAGGCGCTGGGAGAGGCCAGAAAGGAGAAGTATGGAGCTGAAGAGCAAATCACAACAGCCCAACAGCACAAATCCCTTTCCCAGGGGAACCAGGAATACAAAGAACCTGAGTGCTTGTGCATCAAAACAGTCATTTTTCTCCAGCTCCCACCCAGCGAGAAACGGAGAAGCTGAGAGGTGAGACCGCTGATTGGATGCAAGGTCCAGAGAAAGAACAATTTCTGGCTGCACACGGGTGCTGTGTGAGTGACATTACCTGTGTTTGTGTGACATCTTTCCCAAGCTTGTTTAAGAATTTCCTTAAATGTATTAAACACACAGTGGTGTGGAGAAGGCGGGAGCTGGCATCAAAGGCGGAGCTGGCCCCAGAGGGGAAATAAAACAGAGACAGCCTGAACTCTGGTCCCTGGGGCAGGCGGTTAGGATGTAATTGCCTTCTCTGGGGGTTCTGGTAAACAGCGCCGGGGAGAGATGGCTAATAAGAGCTGTGGCGTGCAGCTACGGATGCCAGTAAGAATGCCAGGAATGCGGGCTTCTGGAGGAATTGCTCTAATAAATACCTTTGATTATGAAATGCAGTTTCCCCAAGAGCTCAGAGAATGACTGTGAATTTTGTTTCTATTCATCCTCATGATGGATCTCGGAGCTTGTTAGAGGTGGGTGTTTTCTGCCTCCATTGGTTCATTTATTAAAAAAATCAAAGCTCACAGAACTTAAATATAATCCTAAACAATACAGTGAATCACCTCAGGTAAAAATCCACCCCTCCCCCGATTTTGGTCTGGTTTTCTAAAGCTGGTCTATGCCTGATTTTTCCACTTAGAGAATAAATTTGAGACCAGAGGTGGGGTTGCCAGATTTAGCAAATAAAAATTACAAGCTTGCTCAGTTAAATGTGAATTTCAGAGGAGCAGCTGATATGTTTGGCATAAACATGTCCTTTGCAATATTAGGTACATACTTTCATTAAAAATTTTATTCGTTGTCCATCTGAAATTCACATTTAGTTGGGTGTCCTGTACTTCATCTGGGAACCCTTACCAGAGTGCTCAGATTCAGCCAAGGAAAGGTCAGATGCTCTCTTGTCCTTATGAACTGTTTCTGCCAAGCCCCTTCTTCATTCAGCTCCCTCTGCCCAAGTCCCTGGTGCTGCCCTTGAGGCCTGGCTTTTCTCCTTGGCAGGTGCTGGGTGGCGGGCCCCCACCTCCTGGCCTGAAGTCCTGCCTGGGTACCACCCCCAAGCCCTCACCACGGCGGCTGATGGACAGGTTAATTCCACCTAACATCTTAAACTTCTTGGCACAAGAGAACCTTTCCTTTCTCATCAGAAAGCTCTTATTAGTTCTTTTTAAACTTTTAAACTAAAATATTGTTATTGATTTTGACATCTTAAGAAGAACAATACAGGTTTTGCTCTGTAGTGCATAAAATACCTGTGGAAGGAAGAATGAGGGTCGAAGTGAGAAATCGTAGTTTCCTGGATGGGGAGTGATCTGTTACGTCCCACAATTACAGGACAGACCCTAAAATCCAACCCCCCTCTGGCTATCCACACGTGGCTCCAACAGAGGAATGAAAACTGGGCTAGTCTGGGGCATCCTTTCCTTTCACCCGATTGCAGTTCCCTGTCTGCCACTATGCTGCCCGAGGGGCCGCATGGAATTGCCTATGTGCTAAGTTCCATTTTTCAGTCACAGACACCGCATCTCTTCTATGCATGAAAACAGAAGGGAACAACAAAGCACTATAAATGGCTGTGATGCCTTTAATATGTCCTCAAATCCAGTGTCTGACATTCCTGTGTCATGTTTTGACTCAACGGTGTCCAAGTTGCTCACCCAGGAGTAACCTCTGGGGTATACCTCGGGGCACCAGGGGAGAAGCTTCTATGCAGCTGTCCTTGGAATGTTTGCAGGCTCTTAACACCCGTTCTGTACATTCTGATGCTGATGTTTTATCATCTTAACAAGGAGCAAGAAAGAGTTCCAGAAAACTACTAAATTCATTTCATACCTCCAGTGAGCCAAGGTATTGGGTGATCGGAAACCCAGGGATTTCAGGTGTCCAGTCACGGCACCAGGATGGGGTCACCAGGCTGTTCCAGGAGTACATGCTCAGGTAAACGAGTTGTCACATAGGCAGCAAAGCGACAGTGTAGTTTCAGGTCAATCACAATGGCCATTGTCGAGAAGACACAGCCCTATACCAGAGCTGTCAACATGTAAAGGCTGAAGGTACCATGTGTGGCTGATGAATATTCTAGAGTTACCCCTGGGGACCATTTGTAGTACATCTGCCCACTGTCTTCTGGGAACATCTCAGCCAGCGGGTGCTCCCCAAGCCCCACCATGAATCTCAAGTGTCATCCAGTCCCGGTGACAAGGCCTCCAGTTGTCTTTCCATGAAGACAGTGATGCCTAAAGCAATCTGTGGTTGAAATGCAAAATGATAAAGAGCAATTAAAATGACAGAAATATAAACACATTGTGTTGTATGAATGTTTAATAACATTTTTAAAGTCACTAATCAATACGTGGTTAGGTAGAAAGAATTGGGACCCTGGTTCTGGTCATATGTCTAGATAAGGTTTTTGAAACTAGTATTTAAAAATGTGCTAAATGCCTACAAAAATGAGCAATAAATTATGAATGAAATACTAAGATGAATTTCTTAATGTGATCTTAAATCGGAGTGCATCTCTGGGGGTATTGCTGCAACATACCTATTTGTGAAAAAATTGTTTTGCAATTGTGAAAAAAAGCTCTTCTAATAAGCTCACACACTCAGTAAAGCATTTGGGATGTATCTTCATCTTTTTCAGTTTTCCACCAAGTATAGACAGAGATGCTAGCGCAGGGTGACTGTTAGTCGGCACTGCACTTTCTCAGAGATGCCATGAGCCAGAGTAAGGCTGATGCTTGAGCTGGATGCTTGCTTGGTCCACACCATCTCCTCTGGAGGTACAGTGGCTTCCTTTCTAAATAAATGTTTCTTGGTCTGGTCTGACATCTTAAAGAAGCATTTCCCATCACCGGTATGATGATAAAAAGCCCGCATTTCCAGACTCAGGCCCCTATCACATGGATTTGACACCTGATGGCACATGGGCAGTGTCAGCTGACTTGCTCAGTACAGATACCCGGTGTCGCTCAGACCACGGCCAGCCTGACAGCTGGCAGTGCTCTGGTGATCTGCACAGGTTGACCCAGTCCTGGTAGGTATCATGACATCCCGAGATACTGAAGTGCCAGGACAGAAGTGCCCCCACATTAGCTTCTTCAGAATCAAATCTCCTTCGCCCATGCAACTGCCAGGGACTTTCTGGCAACCTTCTTTCTGGAATCCACCTGCTGCTCCAGGTGTGTGCAGGAAGTCCAAGCCTTACCCCACCTGCCCTCTGCTTAGGCAGCAGGTTCCTCACTCCCGTGTCCTGACAGTCACCACTTTGTCCTGCAGCTCTGCTTTTTATGTCATGCCACCCGCCTCCTACTAAGCTGTTGTCCCCTTGAAGGCAGAGGCAGTGGCAGTATTTTCATCTGTACCCAAGTACATAACATAATGCCTGACACCTTGGAAAGCCCTCTGAAATTGTTGTGTTATATTCCAGAAAGTTTAAAAAGATTCCAGGTAGACGTTTTTCAGAGACTTTAGACAACCTATTGAATAAATGGAAAGTGAAAAATAGTATTCCGTTGTTTGTTGCATTACTCTTTCATCACTGCTCAAACCACCACAGCTGAGGTAAGGCA